AAAAAAAAAAAAAGCACACGGGTATAACTTTCATAAAAACAAGTAGCTGGAAACAATCAATGAAAGAATGTGAAACTTTGTTCCACCAAAAAAGAATGGAAAAATAAATTGTGGTATATTCACTGTAGAATATAATACATTAAAGAAAATTTGATGAGTTACAGCCACATGCCACACTGTCGATAAATCTCAGAAATACATAACTGAGTAAACAGAGCAACAATATAACTATATATGATGAATATTGTATTATGTAATAATATAACTATAAAAAAGTCCTTGAAAAGCTCAAAAACATAGAAAAGTAAAGAATGCACTCTTGGGAGATACAGACACACTGTACACAGCAAAAGCTTTGAGCAAAGCAAGGGAACAACAGCCACCATGGGCACTTCCACCACTGTCTGAGAGAGGCGCAGAGCGGAGAGACCAGGAACAAAGGGGCCAAAAACAACACTGGAATACTCCAGTTCTGAAGCTGGGTGGTGGGTTTGTGGGTGTTTGTTTTATTGTTGAAAAACAGAATGTACAGAAGTAAGCTGGTGTATGCCCTTTACAAAAATAAAGAAACAAGACCCGTATCGGTGGTTATCTTCCAGACAAGCACGAGTAGGACGAGGCCTTGTGCCTTTCTGTGAAGTCTGAGTTTTCCATGAGTATATAACACATTTTTGAAAATTAATAAACAGGGGTATGTGTAAATGAGTTACAGGCTATGTTTAAATTGTCTTCTTTATAATTTGTTTTTTAATTAAAAAATTAATAAATACAACTTCATGTTTTTTCATATAAAGTAACCCTAAAATATCTTTGTGAATACTCTCTTATTTACTGACTCATGTTAGGAATTGAGGATCTGAAATTTAGGTTTAATAGACAAAGACATCAGCTTAGAAATACATAGTGCCACATACAGACCAGGCAGTAAATTCCATGTTTATGTTGATTTTTTCCTATTTTTGTAATGTGACTAATTTTATACAGAAAGCAGGCAAAATCTTAAAAGATCTCAAGGCCATTTGGGCCTACAACCCATCTAAAAATGGGAAAATATATATATTTTAAGTACTACTGCCACCCAAACAAGTATTTACTGCACAATAATTTATGTTTACTTTTAGTGACAACCTGGTGTGATCTGGAAATAACTTACGGTTGCTCCTTCATGTTCTCTTTTTACATGTCCTTTGTTCTCCTGAATAGACTTCGGCTCTGAAGAAGTCAAATTCTGTACATTTTCTACCTTCTGACCTAGAGATTTGGAAGAAAACATTGATAGGAGAAATGTTTTAGATGGTACAACTGGAAAATGATTTTACATATAGGTGGCTTTTAAATTTAAATATCCTAAGATACATAAAAGCAGGAGTTAAAGGTCTGGCAAACGGGCAGCCAGTGGGTCAAGTCCACACGACTGGCCTGGCCTCTGGCCCACAGAGAGCTCTGGACAGAGCAGACTGGACGCTGCTCACAGCGCCCTGGATGTTCACCCAGTACATTCTGTCAGCACAGGGGTGGGCACCGAGAGCCGCCCTGCGGACCTCGTGGAAGGTATCTCAGGCCTGGCCAGGTAAGTGGGCAGTGGGAGAGCAGGCAGGTGACTTGGCATTTCCAGAGAAGGAAAGTCACGAGAGCTAGGGCTAATCCCATTTGAAAAAATAAATGAACAAATTCCTAGAAAAACATAATCTACCAAGTCAAAAGAAGAAAAGGAAAATCTAAAGTCCTACAATTATTTTTTAACTTTACATTTTAATTTTTAAAATTGACAAATAAAAGTTACACTTATTTACCATATACAATATGTTGTTTTGAAATATGTTTACATTGTGGAATGCCTAAATTTAGCTAATTAACATGTATTATCTCAAATACTTATTTTTTGTAATGAGATCTCCCCCTAGTAATTTTCACACTGTTACTAGTTACAGTCATCACACTGTGTGACAACCGGTCCCCTGTTTAACTTAAATTTTGTTAAAATATGAAGATTTTAAAATCTTTCTACAAGAAAACTCTAGGCAACTGGTAGTTTCTACCAAATATTTAAGGAAAAAAATAAGAATCTTACACAAAACTTTTCAAAGAGTAGACAGTAATACATTTTCTCTAGTTAATTTTTATCTTTTTTTTTATTTCAAGAGGATTTCTAAGAAGGAATAATTCCTTACTCATTGATAAGCTCAGCATGACCTTGACACTAAGAGATGAGACGACCTGTTGATTAACAAGGCAGGTTTATTTCTCAGCTAACTCATGACACTGCAGGAGAAGGAGTGGGTTCACTGGCAGCCGCAGGGAGCCTGCGCTCTCACTGGGAAGTACGTCACCCACTGCTTACAGGGGACGCCTGCCTTCCGGCTTTCCACACCCTGTTGTCACTGAACATCCTTAGAGAAACGTGTGGATTAATGCTACTGAAAGTTGTTATTTTCAATGTCAGCAGAGGCTGAAAGTTGCTAATTCCTCTTCACAAGCTGGCTCAGCTCTGCGTTCCTAGTTCAGCTTCCCCGGCTCTTCCTGTGGCCCTCTCCCCACATCTCAACTTATCCTGCCTCTCGCCTTCTCCCTAATGTGACACTCCCCTTCACCTCTCTCTGCCCTCTCTCCACTCCAGCCACTTGGACTCCTTTCTAAGACTAAATAAAACATGTCAACCTTAAAAAACATGGGATGTATAGACGTAAAAATACAAAATTTAAGTAAATACATTAAAATAAATAGTGAAAATATTTCATTGCCAGAAATCACATCCTTTCAATTAAATTAAAAGGTAAATTCCCTTAAAAAATATATTTAGAACAAATGTAGAAAGCAACATATGCAGCTTTTTAATCCCCAGCCAGTCTCCAGTTCTGCTGTAGTAACTGAGGACATCACATACCCTGAGGAGGCTCAGAGCACGGAGGCTCCGAGATGTCAGAGGTGCTGCTGCTCCGAAGGACCTGCTGCTGTCCCAGCCCGAGGTGGCCCAGCCCGGCCGCAGAAGCCTGCTCTGACTGCTGGCTCTCTTCCACTTCTGTGAGCGTTAACAGAAACATGCACGGCTACAGTTAAAGACTTCCAAAAATATTTCACCACTTAAAACAACTAATTTAAAAAATGAATTTCACAGTAAGATAATCTGTTTACATTATCAAATGTCCTACACTTGCTAATTTACATATCACTCCAAGAATATACAGTCCTCTTAAGTTCTGCAAGGCCTTTTGCTTTTCAAACAAGTGAAGGGGGAATGGCTAAGAACTATAAAAGTCATTTGGAATTCTGGCGTCAGGCATGCCAAGAGGGAGAGATGCAGAGATGGAGGATGTGCACAGACGGGTAATTTCCATATGAGGAGAGCAGGGGGTGAACCCACACACACTCTACGGAGGGTGAAAGGAAATGTGGGAATTTCAACTACATTATTATTTTAAAAGACAAATATTCACTGTCCAAAATGAAATGCTATAATTATTTAATTGATATGTGATATAAGCCAATGTTGAATTAATCACTAAAGCACAAAAATGACCCACTGGTATTTTTAGAGAATCAATACATAAAGCACATAAAATAGAAAACCACAGACAAGCTCTGACTAGTGGATAATCTTGGCTGGTATTATTCACACTATATTCTCCTAGAGTTTCATCCTAACCCATTTCTGGACTGCATAGTTCATTTTAATCTTTGAAGACCGTACAAGGAACATTTATTCCAACTTCCCTACCTTCTCTCTGCAGAGAGCACTTCAGGGTTGAATTGTCCTTTGCCTGGGTTGTATTAATAGTTGCCAACTAGTCACTGCTCCCCTCTGCTTGCCGCCCTCCAATCTACCCCCACATGACCACCAGAGAGAGAGGGGTCCTTCTAAAATGAAGATCTGATCATCCCACTCCTCTCAAAACCCTGTGAAGCCCTCCATCTTTATCTGTGCTCATCGGGGTGAACACAGGGCTCTCCCTGATCTCGCCCCACACAACAACAAGGAATCATCTCTCACTTTGGTCTCCAGCAACATTAACCTACTTGGCACCCACACCTCTTCTTCCACCTGCTGTTTCCTGCTCTGTACCAACTGCACACCTGCTCCATCCCTCACCCTGGGCAGAGTCCTACAGGACTCTCCATGTGGCCTCACATGTGTAAAATCCCACCACTGTGTTCTTCACGGGACTCTACACTCATTGACATAGTCATAAAACCACACCCACGTAACTAGAACATTCTATTGTCCAGAAATTTCAATTAGCTAAACTTTCACTACAACCAAAAAGAGGCTGATCAAAATTCAGCCACATGATCACAGCTGGTTGTGTCACCCTGTTTCTAAAATGGAGACTTGTTGCCAATGGGCCACCCTCAGTGCAACCCCCGCCACCAGCCATAAACCAAAGTGATGGCTCAACCTAACCAGGAAGTTGTATATAGGAAGATACTACATTTAATACACAGGACTTCACCAAAGAGTTGCTATTTTATTTTTCCTATCCAAATAGAAAATTCCATTTTATAATATGCTGGCACAATTAGAGACCTCAAAACTATGCAACTTGTGTGAGCCTTCACTTACAATTCAAAGTCTAGACCAGGGGTCCTCAAACTTTTTAAACAGGGGGCCAATTCACTGTCCCTCAGACTGCTGAAGGGCCGGACTGCGGGCCCAGGATGAGTCAGCTGATAAGCAGGACAGGGGAGCGATGGCACAAACACCCAGCAGGCTGGATAAATGTCCTAGGTGAGCCACATGTGGCCCGCGGGCCGTAGTTTGAGGACCCCTGGTCTAGACCACAGTCTAAATTTGAATGCTGATGGGAAACTGAGTTCAGAGTGTAAGATAAACTGAGGCAGCAAGAACAGATACCTGAAACCTTGTCTCTACCAGGATGTCTCCGCCTTCCTCTTCTCTTGCATAGCTAAGAACTAGTCTTTTTTCCGCAGAGAAACCCAGGTGTATGCACAGATTTTTTCATACACATCCCACAGCACAGACTAGGCCCTTTTCACAGGTCTATTCTAGTCTGTCAGCCTTTGGCAGGAGAAGCCAGATCACACCAAGGGGCCAGCCCTTCTGGCTGTCTTCTTTCATCGTTTATTCTAATTATGCTGAAACCTTCCAGGAAGAGCTGATGTTTGTTAATGAACCTACTGGTTAATCCAGTATCAGTAGAGGGAGCCCAAGAGCTTCCCAACTTTCTAAAAGATAATTGCCAAGTGCCAGTTTTATAGATAGTAGGAAGAATGGATTTTATTCCCCTAAGCCTTGTGCCAAAAACTGATAGATGTTGGTTTCTGAGCTATAGCAGAAGCAAATAAGCACCGAGCCAATGCTGGCAGCAACTTTCTAAAGATAAAGAACATTGCCATCTGGGGGGATGTAATGCAGCCACAGCACTGTTGCTTCCAGATCCGAGTGCCCCACTGGCCCCAGCACAGCAGACGGACCAAGGACCTGCCACACCAGCTGGTCTGCCTTCCCAGCAGGCTGGCCTGACACAGCTTTGTTTTTATAAAACTGTCAGGAGGGACTTCTCAGATGGAGCAAATCCAAGCCTACCGAAACAACCATCAGCAGCCGCACGGGAGCACTGGCGGTTGCAGTGGGAAGGATGGTACAGCTGCCAACACCCAGAGCGTGGGCTATCGTGCTGCTGGGTCCCTGAGCCACTCCTATAGCTGACTGTCAAATGAGACAGTGTGAAAAAAAATGTTTCAGTTCTCCTTATCCCGTGACGTATCCCAAATTTCCTGATTTATAATTGTAAATTTTTTGGCCTTTTCTCATGCTTTGTATTAAGTATATATTCAATACATGTTTTGTATAAGTGAAGGACAAAAACATCTTTATACCGTTACACTTTTTAAATAGTTCTTGGGCTCCCTCTGCTGGCATTTTATTTGTCAAGAAAGCAATTTATGTTGAAGCCGCTCCCAATAGATGATGTCAGCTGGAGTAACTGCTGGTCCACAGCACCAGAAATCATTTTAACACTGACACGCAAACATCGAGATACAGGATTATCTGATATTTATAACAGAAAAGAACAGCCTGTGTTTTTTGAAAATTATAAATCCTAGGACATCTAATGCATCCTGTTTTCAATATCACATAATTTCTATTTGAATCACTTCAAAGAGCTAAATTTTATCTCCAATTCACCACATCATTCACTCTCTCTAAAGACTAGCTAACCCAATAACCCAAATTTTAAAAGCAACTAATTTTCTCACCTGTTAACGGTGTAAGTTACACAATACCATTACTAAATCATTACTTTCTAAAATGCCATTAGAAGCACTGGAAAAAAAAAATCAAATAGGGCTTACTTAATTTAGTATGATGAAGTTAAAAAGTTAAAAAGTCTTCAATGACTTCTATTTTTTTCCCAAATGTCCTTCTATTTTTCAAAGTAATCACTCACTCTGTAATCTGCTTCTTTGATCCATCTTATTAAATGCAATGAGGCTCAGTCTCCAATAACCAAAATTCTGGGTTATTTACTTCTTATACAAAGTTGCATAGTAAAATAAATTGTGTAATTTTCTAATTTTTTAAGCCTCAGGCATAGTACTACCAACTTGACCCTATAAAAAGCACAGGAAATGTGTATCAACTCAACATCTTATGCTAGTACGCGGTGGGGTTGGGGGGATGGGGGTCAGAGAGAGGGAAGGAAGGAGGAGGGTGGGGGGGTCATGGTGTGTGACACACCTCTTAGAGGCAGGACACAATTAAAAGAAGGTCTTTACCTAACAAATGCAAGCAGTGTAACCTGGTTCTTTGTATTCTCAATGATTGACCAACAATTAAAAAAAAAAATAAAACACCTCAACATCTTAAGGTTTCCCATTAGGTCAAGCTTTCCAGAGGTGAGTCAGCCCAGTTCCTCACAAGGAACACTCCCTGCAAGCCTGAAAACAGACACGGAAGCAGCTAGCAGGGTTTCCACTAGGTCCCAATTATGCCTTCTTAGAATAGGGGACACTGCTGATCCCCTAATTACTGCTATTACAAAATTCCTACGAGAAAAATAAAACCTACCATCTACGTGGCCTGCGTTACAGAGAGATGTATGTCCCAATATAAACAGCAGTTAAGAAACAAACTGTAAGAAACTGTTCCCACAAAGGCAAAGAGAGAAATAATAGAGCGTGCCAGTCCCCCTCCCGGGTGTTTGCTGTATTAGAGCAAACAGGTGGTTGTGACTCTCCCAAAATGCAAACATCACTTCTTTCTCCCAAAATACAAATAATCCTTCCAAAATTCTGCTGCCACCAAAAAGAATCTCAGAAGGATCAGAATAAGATAAATTAGTGGCTGAAGATAAGTAATTCTCTATTGCTTATACACATATTATTGAAATAATTTTGGTGGGTTGACTAGCCATATAGATTAGAAACAAAAACAAGAAATGTTAATTTAAATGAAAATAAAACAGCAATCACTGATATGGTTAAAGAACTTATGGGCAGAGAGTAAAATAGAAGAGTCTACATATTATCTAGCAATAGGTTGGCAGGATAAGCACTAGGAATTAACTGGAGCACAAATTTTAATACTCTAATTTACCAACCAGTGGAGAATATACAATCTCAGACTGGGGACCAACATACATTGTCCTAGAGTCAGTCTCTTAATAAGACAGTCACAAAGGACAATGGTATCCTTTTAAACAGTAAAGAATAAACAGCACGGAATAAAGAGGGGCTCACTACTGTAACTGTCAGGTGAAACGGAGAACAGCAGCTCATTCTCAGTCACCCAAGAACTTGCACTCTTTGTGCCATGAAACAAGAAACCCTGCCTCTGGGTTTCTCAACCTCCCTCAGCACTGCTAACACTTTGGGCCGGACGCTTCTTTACTGGGGACCGTCCTGGGAAGACAGTCCTGGGGAGACCGTCCTGGGGAGCCCATCCTGGGGAGGCTGTCCTGGGGAGGTCGTCCTGGGGAGGCCGTCCTGGAGAGACCATCCTGGGGAGACGGTCCTGGGGAGGCTGTCCTGGGGAGGCCGTCCTGGAGAGACCACCCTGGA